TCTACAAAAATCCAAATGACCAGCAAATTGTAGTAAAGACTATTCTGTGTATCTTTGGTGTCATCTATGGTTGTCTGGATTTTTGCACCCCAGATCTGACAGGCCTAACATGGAAAACTGGGTCCTTCTGCTCTATAAAGAGATTCACTCAGAGTACATAATGCATAATGTTTACTACCATCATAAAAACATGGGATTTATTAAAAAGAAAGTTTAATTTTCTCACCAATTTCTGGGCATATAAATTTATATACTGTAAAATTTATTGAGTTTTTCTCTGTGAAGGGAATAAAAAGTGAACATTAATCACTGGTTGATTGATTGATTGATTGATTGATCAATTTCCCATCAAGTTGTTGATTTTTAATGACCACATAGATTTATATTATATATACCAATTTATATCACAGAATCAGAGGGTTGGAAGGTACTTAGAGGTCTTTTAGTCCAACCCCCCTGCCCAAGGCAGGAGTCTTTATACCATCCCAGACAAATGGTTGTCCATTTTTTTCTGGAAACCTCCAATCATGGCGCACCCACAACTCCAAGGCAAGCGGTTCCTCTGATATTCATTCTTACTGTCAGGAAATTCCTCCTTATTTCCTAGTTAAATCTTCCTCTGACAAACTTCTACCCATTGCTTCCTGTCCTGCCCTCAGGTGCTATGGAGAATAAATTGATTCCCTCTTCATACCCTGTTACTACTTTCAGGAGAAAGAAACAACATTTTCAGTGTATAACACACTCAAAAAAGAAAAACTGAAAGAAGGAATATGCAACCTTGGGCCTGAAGGTTCTGTTTCTAAATATCCATCTGAAATAACTATCATATTTTGGCTTTATAAACCAAAATAATTCCATAGAATGCAAACACTTTACATATATTTTTTTTCTGTATGAAGCTCATCCATATCCAGGAAACAAGTGTACAAAAGGGCTACCAAAAAGATGGCAACCAGCAGAAAATAATAGATACTTATAACTGTTACCCTTTGCTGTCATTTAGTCCATATTTTTGCAATCCAAATCATTATAAAATGTATTAAATGTGAAGAAGTGAGATAGTAAGGATAATATTTATTTTAATTAAGGGAGAAATATATTTCCAGTGTAGCATACAATTACTTTATTAAAAAGGAAAGAAAATGACATTAATAATCTATCATTAAACAGAGGTCATTAATTAGCCTCAGTACAAGAGAATAAAAATGTATTAAATGTTTGAAAGGGAAAGAAATTTTGCACCAAAATACCAATGGTACTGGCAAAGAGCAAAATCCTTCTCAAAAATTATCTACTGAGTTTATAGAATTGATAGTGAAGATTGTTGTGGTACATAAATGAAATGTGAGATTTCACAATAAGAATATCACATTCTATCATGGTGCAAATCAATTATGTTAAAATTTTAGGACACTTGAAACAGTCCTTCCTGAACAAGCTGGTTCATTCACTGAATCAGAAGTATTAATTAGCCTAAGGAAAACAAATCTGAATGTCTGTTATACCCTCCATTTCAGTTATTTATATATGTTGTGTTCCACACACATTTCCTCCTGCAGAATTTCTCTCTACCCACTCACAAAAGAAGAAAAATCATTGTCTAAAAGGGGGGGACTATATACTGACCTTGTCTGAACTTAAAACTGTAAGCATAGTTGGAACTATATTGAATCACACACAAAAAAAAACTATATGAAATCATTAAGACCAAAACCTGATTTGAAGGAAATCTTACATTTTTTTAGAAAAAATACTTTCAGTCTTTCAACATAAGTTGAGTTTTTTCATGTTTGATCTCCTGGAGAATATAAAAAAAAAAGGGAATTGTTAGGCCTGCCTAATCCATTTCTATCTTCTCCAAGCCAGCTTCTTTTAATTGTAGCAACTCAAAACTGTCCCTATTCATTTTAAACTGCAATGTAAGGAAAGGCAGAATCCGGAACTACAAACATAACCCATTTTTTTCTTTTTATTCAGGTCCCATTGAAATTTATTTTATTTTTCTTAAACTTCAAGTGAAACACTCCTTCAACTCTTATTATTCAAGGACACCTTTCTTTTCCTAACAAACTGCACTTCTGTATTCCCTGGCTTTCTCAAATTGCAAAGACCTTTGGCCTGGAGCAATTCACTGATCTAGCTGTGAAACTTCCTATCTTGAAGGAATACAGGTAGACAACCTGTGGCCTTCAATTTGAATCAGGTAAGAAGGGCAAAAGGGGAAAAAAATGGGCAAGGGAATCAAAACAAAGCAACCAAAGAAGATGGAAGCAAGAGGAAAGCTTTCTGCAAGTTATCAGTTTAGAACTCATGAAAAACCCATCTATCTTTTCCGTGGAAGTCTTGCAGATGAAGAGGAAGAGAAAAGAATAGCAGAAAGAAACTGGGCAATTCATCTACTTTTGGCTCTAGCCCACCCACAATAACAGGACCTCTTAGATTATCCTGAAGGGAACAAAGCCCTTCAAAATGAAACTCTCTTCCTCTGTTTTATAGCCAGTGATAACATCTTTGTAGCACGCAGGGCAAGGCTGAGAAAGAAAAAAGATTTAGATACTCCTTCAGCTGCAGTCCTTTTTTCTTTGTGCACCAGAGTTTACTACGATAGAACTTTTTTGCATGGTCTCATTATGTAAATAAAATTTGAAAGAAGTGAATAAAGTAGAATAATGGTACAATTCAGCATGTGTATGAGTACGCACATGCGCGAGCACACAAACACACACACACACACACACACACACACATTACTGTCTGTATTTTATTTTCTCTCTTGTTCTAAGATCTTGGTAACAGTGGCAACAGCAGCACCTCGTGGCAGAGGTCAGAATTTTGTATATGATCATTTGCATCTTATCAAACTTGAACTTAGCTTTCTCAGGAAAACTGACAAAGAATTTTCCAAGACGAGGTAGGTCTCTTTAGCACTACAGGAAATGAGAATCTTAAAAAGATGGATTAAAAGAAAATGTCTTTATACTAATTGCAACAAGTGTATTCCCAACATGTGGGAGATGATTTTAGATCCCCGAGAACCCTCGTAGGGCCTAGAGTTTCTTGTGAAAGTGATTCACATTCTGTCTCTTCTTTGTATTAGCAATTAAAATTTTCGAGGTTTATATTAGAACTTCTCAGATGCACAAATATCTTGATATTATATCTTGAATCTACAGTGCTTGAACTCAGAAAGTATTTGGGTATTTTTTTTCTGTAAATTGCTATTGCATGAATTTTAAGTTGTTTTTTATGTCAGCAAGTGATTCTTTGTTAAACATTTTTAACATGTTAGTAAAAACAGGATTCAGAAATAACTGTTTACTGTAATATATAAACTGATACATGTTCAATAACACTTACATTTCAGATTAATTGGAAATTTTCAAGGGGATGGGAGATCAGCATCAAAAACCTATGCTATTTTGAAGAACTTATTATACCATACAAACAAAACAATCGCCCTTGTACTGAGACACTACAACTTTCATTACTTTTATGAAAGTATCTGATTATCAACAACAGCAATATTTTCATGATTAATTAAATAATCCAAAGTTTCAGTTGAATTCTTTTATTAAAACGTTGCAGTACTGTAATTCTCAACCTGAAACGATGGCTATTCATATGAAGTACTGACATTCTGATTATGTTCATCTTTCTCCTGTCTATTGAAGGGTTATTGCCTAATGCACTATACACTCAAGTATCCCTGGGAAAATGTTGGGGTTTTTTCCTCTTTCTCTCCCTCACACATTAAAAAAGTAAAAGATAAATCTAGATTAGTAAGGTTTTTGTGCTGTATTTTAGATTTTATGAAATAGTCATAAAACGGCCCAGTTATATTTAACAGGAATAATTATGGGAATAGGAAGAAGACAACAGAAGAGTCTGACAACCATGAGACAAGAATTTGAATCTTGTGTTAGGGAAATGTTAATCATGAGCACATAAATGGTTTAGGTTCTAACCAGAACATACTGTACAAAACGAAATCCAATTCTGCAGTCTTGCCAATATGCTGATCCCTTTGAGCAAGATAGAAATTTATTCAGAAAAAAACAAAAACAAAATACTCACCCTACAGTATTCCTCCCTTAGCTTATATATTTTCCATCAAGAACCATAGACAGGCATGGAACGAAAACATTTAAAACCAAAGCAAGCCACCCCCCCCCACCCCCCCAAAAAATACATTTCTTCTAAAACTCCATATCAGAATTTTAGCTATTGGTTTATTTTCCCTCCCACTTATAGCTGTATTTACCAAAATTAAAAGATGTGATCAGGGGTCTGAAGTGACTTGCAACCAACAATTAACTGCCCCTCCTCCTCCTCCTCCTCCTCCTCCCACCCTCACGCATTCACCCTGTACACTCGCTTTTGCTTCCAAGATAGGAAGACTTTCAGCCTTAAGCAGGCAGTCTTGGTGCTGCTAAGTAAAGCAATTTTGAAATTCCCTCCTGCAGGATGCAGCCGCTCGCTTGCCACCTTCAACACTTAGCGTCCCAGAGGAAAAGAAGTTTTCAACGCCGTTAATGTTAGGTTAGGTTGGGTTGGGTTTGAGCGAACTGGCTTTCTTTTCGCCTTCAAATTTGGCCCTTCGGCAGCCAAGCGACCTGGGCACAGAATTTCGGGCTCCCGTTTGCAAAAGGCGGTGCCTTTCCCCCAATATCGAGAAGCTGCCCGTCTCAAGCGGGGCAAAGGGCTCCGGGAAGGTCGGGCTCAGAGGTGCCATTAAATCAACTCCTTGCCCTGCCCTGGCGGGGAGGGAGCGATAAGTCCCGGGCAGTGCAAAAGCGGCAAAGTGCAAGTCCCGGCCACCTCCGCCGGTGCGGGGCAAAGGGGCAGCAATCCCGAAAGGGAATCGCGGAAGTGGGGGTGACGATGGGGAGCGGGGGGGCCGAGACTTCGTCCTGATAGCACCTTCCTCAGCCGCTCGCATCCTCCACCCCTGCCCAGGCGGTTTGCACCCGTCCCTCTCTCCCTCCGCCCCTCGTTACCTTGTTGCAGTGGTAATAGTCCAGGGGGCCCAAGCAAGGGGGGTCGGCCCCGGGCAAAGAACCAACGGCGGTGGGGGCGGAAGGGTAAAACCTAACGTCCATGCCGGGACTGCGCGCTGAGGAGGAGAACGAGGTGGCGGCAGCAGCGAGAGGAGGCTCCAGGGGGCATGGAACCGGCTCCTCCGGCGGCGGCTGCTCTGCCTCTGGCTCAGGGCGGGCGGGAGGAAAGGGGAGGAGAGGCGGGGAGAGGGAGAAGGGGAGGGCGCGCAGCCCAGAGCCAGCTCCTCTCGCACTCTATTGTTCCAGGCACCGAGGCAGGGGGTGGGGGAGGAAGGAGGGGGAGGGGAGAGCGCCCGGGACCTGCTCGGGCTGGGCTGGGCTGGGCTGGGCTGGGTCAGACTCTCCCTACAGCCTTTCGGGCCGGCGCTGGGACCGCCACAAGGCAGCTCCAAATACCCGCGCCGCGGTCGGGACTTGTCCTGCCCCGAAGGCGCCGGGAGCTGACAAGCCAGCAGGAGAGGGCCCGACGCGTAGGGCAGGTCCCTAGGAAGAAGAGTGAGCTGGGAAAGAAGAAAGTGGTGGTTTTCCTTTTCCCCTGCCCGGGAAAGGCAAGGCTCAGAGGACCGCCGCACGTCTAAGGGTTCGCTCCCCGTGCCGCGCACGAACTAGAAGTGTCCCCAGGGGAGAAAAGAACCAGACTCTGGGTCCCACAAGAAAAGGGGCGCACATCTCTTGTTGCGGATTTGACTGAGTTCCTCCTCCTAACTCAGTATGGAAATGTGGTTTGGTAGTCAGGGTTTTGCTTTGTGCGGACCTGCCCGGAGTAAAGACTCCAAGGAAGGAAAGCAAAGTTGGTCGTCGGAACGTGACCCTGCTAACCTGCCTATGCATCCACCAAGTTTTCTGCTAAATTTCAAGATAGGGCTCAGGCCTTCTCCCAAAAAAGTAACGGGAAGTCCTGTTTTACAGAGAAACTGGGACTCAACTTTTCCAAACGCCCCCTCCTCCTCGCTTTTTTCTCCCATGTATAGCTATATTATGAAGCAGAATCTTATTTCTCTGAGGGATCTTGTTTGCTTCGCTACTGCAGGTGGCAAAAGGGGTGGACTAAGTTTAGGGTCCTTTCTCAACATTTCAGAAAGATGTGCTACCAAAGCTTCAGCTTTGTCAAACTTCCCTACCAATCCATGAGAAAGTGGGTTGGTATAAAACAGCCTGTTTTCCAATTAGATTTTCTTACAATGCACGATTCCTCCAGGTTTATTTAGTATATATTCTCCTTTTCTTCCAAGGAGTTATCAGTGGCATAGAAAGGATTTTTCCCATGCACTTATCTATTCGCCTATCCTCCTCACAACAGGCCTATGAGGTTATGCAGAAAATTGGCAGTTGGCCCAAGGACACCCAAAATCTAAATGTTTTAGTAGAAATTTGAATCTGACTCTCTCCAATCCAACATGACTGTCTGGACCAGATTTTAATCATCCATTGAGTAAATCAATCTTTATCAGGCACTCTATTCAGACATGGCAAAAGAATATTGTTGCATCTTAACAACCAACAAATTGGAGCATGAGAATTATGCTGCAAGTAATGTGCTGATTTTTTAAGAGCTACAAGACTCTTTAATATTTTCGTTGCAACAGGCTGTTGTGGAAATTGAAGACAGAAATGATGCATCTTCAATATATAAACTTGGCAGGAAGGGGGGGGAGAGTATACAAAGCTGTATACCTTATTCTGGTGCAGAAACAGTAAAGCTGATCATCTCTTAATTATGAGCTTTTTCACAAAATAGCACTATAATATTAAAACTGGGCCTGTATCTTGGTATAATCCAACATTAAACAGACAGTATGATAATGCAAAATAAATTATATGAAATCTGTGTTTGTCCCAAATGATTGTTTTTTTAAAAAAAATAGAAGTGTATAGGTTTATTTATGTTTTCCATTTTATATTCTGCATCAGAGAAACAGTAACCAGCTCAGAATGTATTAGCATCACAATACTTATAGGTTGATGATAATGATTTTATATGAGAGGGGTTTTTTATAATTTCAGGTACTGATGAATAAATCTGTTTTTCATATATACGTATGAAAATTGTGTTCTCTACTACTAACTGAAGACTTAAAGTCAATCACTACTCTCAGATTTTTATAATCATATATTATATGGAGTATAAAATAATGTCAAACTTCCAAAGGGCAGGATCATACTGAACACAGCAATCAGTAGAGAAATAGTTATTAAAAATATTTTTACCTTATTCTTTTGCCCAAAATACTATCTGAGCATTTTAGAAATTAAATAAAAAACATGTTTGAAGCACTCAGTCCAAAACAAGTAATAAAAAGGAAAGGGGAAGAGAAAAAAATAAAAATTACAGAATTCTTCTTATAGTTGGATGGAAACATTCAGAGTAGAGAAGGAGCCAACAAGGATAGAATTAGTATTGTTTTCCATTCTTGCCTTTGATACATATTTATAAAATAGTTACTTCGTAATAACAATTAAAGGACAGAAAGAACCTCAGGCTTCCCAAATGAAAGGGCCAGTAGATAGCAAATACTTTACAATCTGAAATAATAACAGCAATGACAATAAAATGGGAGAGATGGATGGATGGAATAATTGTAGAAAATGGATTTGAACATTTCAATACAGAACCACTCAGTTTACAGACTTAGAAAGTTGTAGTCATACTGGGAATTCATCAACCAGAAATGGATGGCTATAGGAAATAAAGGATGAAAATATCATACTGAAGTAAGAGTCATATTCTGCTGTTGAATAGCCAACTTTTACAATTGTTTTGGACAAGACGTGGTTTAGTTTAGTAGCCTGATCTGTAGTTCTTTCAAAAATATGGTATAGACCAAGGGTATCAAACTTCCAACGTCATATGACATATCACGACATATCATGACTTTTTTGCCATTGCCGGCAATGGGATGGGTGCGGTTTCACTATGATGTATCTGGCCTGCAGGCCAGCAGTTTGACACCCCTGGTATAGACTTAATTTGAGACAAAATCAACATAAAACAATACAGTAGTTCAAATGAAGTCATGCTTGCATTTTCATTATGATGGAAGAGATTTTACTTTCTTGAAACAGATACGATGTTCATAGACTGAATCCATGAACTGCATTATACAATAATTTAGTTCTTCCTAGACAGCCAAGGAAGAGAAAGTAAGTTTAGTGAGGAAAGATGGCTAAAAATAAATAGGAAATACAGAAAATACTTTTTTTGGGGGGGGGGGGAGGATGGGATAGGAATGGATACTGTAGAAAAATAATGGGAAAAGAGACTACAATGTTATGGGGGGGAAATAAGAGAAGATAATAGCTATAATTCTATCAGATTAGGAAATATACTACAGAAACAGCACAAATAAAGTGAATGTTTATTTAAGAAAAAGTTTAGGCCATAGGAAGCATAACAGCTGTTTTGCTAATCCTTGATATTGACCATATCAATTGTAGAAAACATACACAAGGAAGACTGGGAATAGCTATAGGAAGCTAATCCCAGATTATTATGTTAGCATTTTATAGTAACTTTTCTTTTTACTAAACTAGAACTATAATGTATTTAGAGATTGAGGAAACTAATCTCAAACAGTGAATCACATCTTTAGTCATTTGGTTTAGTCATTTAGTCCTATTTGTATTAAGTGATAGTTGCCTTTGCATGTTTCAGATTGCAACTAAATCTACAAAACAAAACCCTACCTTCCTACTTTAAAACATTCATAGTGCCCTTAAATCATTTAAAACAATCTTAAAAGTAAAATCCAAAATGAAGAACTATGATTTCTAAAAAATGGGGGGGGGGTATGTGCTGTGTGTTTCAGTCAGAAGGATGATTGATGCTGAATCTGTAGTAGTGTACAACAATGCCATAATGATGAACTGGCACAAATTAATGTACTCTTTAACAATGCAATAGTACAAATTAATATATATTTCTATTTAAAATAATTACTTCCCCCTCCCATTAAAAGCTATGGATATCAGCCAATGTCATGTGGGTTTAGTGGCTTTCAGCTTAATTTTAAAAGGCAAGCAACCAACTGTAAAAGCTGTGCATTTTTCTGGTAATATCTTTCATTTCACTTTAGAATTTGAAGTAAAGATGTTACTATTGATGTTATTTTCTTTCGCCAATCTCACTGCTGAGACATCTCTGGCTGCTCACTCTTCCAGTCTGAAAGCGTCCCAAAGGAGGAATTCCCTCCTGACTTTTTCTTACGGGATTTAATTGAAACTTGGAAACTCAGGGAGTCTGGTGGATGGTTGCACAATTAATGGCTGGATATTGGCCAGATTCTATCCACAGGAATAACATCTGCCTATTGCAGGACCTTGGGAAAGACTCAATAGATAAAAACACGAAATCCAGTCTGAACATCTGGCTGACTATGCAACAAATTATAATAATTTATTAAATTTATGTGCTGTCCCATTTAAAATAACTCCCAGGAATGTGTCTGGAATACTCCTATTCTTTGAAATAATTTCTCAAACATTTGCTTATAGAGTTGAATGAGAGCTGTAGAAGTCTAGCACTTGAACAATTACCATTTTTTTTAGAATTCTAATGTTTCATTTCATTTCATTTTTTGCTTTTTGGGTTCTTTTTGGTTTGGCCCTACATTTTATTGATCTATATAGGCATTTTATTATTTATTCACCAAGGGCTGTTAGTATAACTGAAACAATAGTACTTGTTTTAGTTTAAAACCAGTCTACAGCCTTGTCTAATACTTGATAATTAAATACTTAATAAGACTAATTAATATAATTAAACAAAGTACATTTTCTGATTTATTCTGAACTAATTTATGTAACAATTGGTGATGAGCTTATCAGACATTTGCATAATGCAATATTATTGCATCAATTAAATATAATAAATGTAATGATTTTAGTAAATATATAATACAGGACCACTGGAGCTCCAAAGTTAAGGATAGGCATTTTCTATATGAAACAGGATTCAATTTTTATAAAAGAAAAGGGAGCACATTTTATTACAATAAATAATTTCCTCAATTGATAAAAATGACTTTTATAAACATTCAGTACATTTTTATTTACTTTTTCAAATGTTTTTATTCTGCCAATTCACAACCCTATAGTCACTTTACAGTAATAAAACATAATTGAAATCACAATAAAAACCCATCACTACTGCTGACTTCATTGGGGTTCTCTAT